ATTCCAAGGATTTTTGGGTTTGTTTTCCAGAGATTTTCCTGATTATTTCCAGGAGAACATTCCAAGGATTTTTGGATTTGTTTTCCAGGGATTTTTTGGGATTTTCCTGAGGATTTTGGGGAGGACATTCCAAGGATTTTTGGATTTGTTTTTCTGGGATTTTCCTGATGATTTTATGGAGAACATTCCAAGGATTTTTGGATTTGTTTTCCAGGGTTTTTTTTTGATTTTCCTGCTGATTTTGGGAGAACATTCCAAGGATTTTTGGATTTCTTTTCCATGAATCTATTGGGATTTTCCTGATGTTTTTAGGGAGAAAATTCCAAGGATTTTTGGATTTGTTTCCCAGGGATTTTTTGGAATTTTCCTGCTGATTTCTAGGGAGAATATTCCAAGGATTTTGGGATTTGTTTTCCATGAATCTGTTGGGATTTTCCTGAGGATTTTGGGGAGAACATTCCAAGAAATTTTGGATTTGTTTTCCAGGGTTTTGTTGGGATTTTCCTGATAATTTTAAGGAGAACATTCCAAGGATTTTTGGACTTGTTTTCCAGGGATTTTCCTGATGATTTTGGGGAGCACATTCCAAGGATTTTTTGATTTATTTTCCAGGGATTTTCCTGGTTATTCCAGGGAGAACATTCCAAGGATTTTTTTATTTGTTTTCCTGGGATTTTCCTGCTGATTCCAGGGAGAACATTCCAAGGATTTTTGCATTTGTTTTCCAGAGATTTTCCTGATAATTTTGGGGAGAACATTCCAAGGATTTTTGGATTTGTTTCCCATGGATCTGTTGGGATTTTCCTGCTGATTTTTCGGCACCACCAAGGACTTTTCCTCCCCCTTTTTCTCTCCCCATTCCAGAGGAAAACTCCGGAAAACCACCCGAGGAGGGGAAAGGGAAGAAAAAGAAAGGCTTGGGAAGCGGAAACGAAGGCAAAGGAATTCCCGGGAAAGCCGGGCTCGGATCCAGACCCTTGGGAAACGTTCCCAAGGAAACCATCCGGAGGATCCTGGAGCTGCTCCGGGACGAGTCGGTGAGCGACGGGTTCCATGGGATGATCCCACTTTTCCCGGATTTCCTCGGGATCAAGGTGGGAGGTGCTGATTCCTGGCTCCGCCCCCTCTTCCCAACATTTTTCCCAAGGGATTCCTGATGGAGAAGGAGCTGCTGAAGCCGCTGCAGGAGCTGGAGGGGCCCCCGGACACCCTCGGGAAGATCCGATCCCTCTTCCAGGTGCGGCGGGATTTGGGAAGGGAGNATCCATTGGGATTTTCCTGATGATTTTGGGGAGAACATTCCAAGGATTTTTGGATTTGTTTTCCAGGGATTTTCCTGATGATTTTAGGGAGGACATTCCAAGAATTTTTGGATTTGTTTTCCAGGGATTTGTTGGAATTTTCCTGATGATTCCAGGGAGAACATTCCAAGGATTTTTGGATTTGTTTTCCAGGGTTTTGTTGGGATTTTCCTGCTGATTTGGGGGAGAACATTCCAAGGATTTTTAAATTTGTTTTCCAGGGATTTTCCTGATGATTTTATGGAGAACATCCCAAGGATTTTTGGATTTGATTTTCTGGGATTTTCCTGATGATTTTATGGAGAACAATCCAAGGATTTTTGAATTTGTTTTCCAGGGTTTTGTTGGGAATTTCCTGCTGATTCCAGGGAGAACATTCCAAGGATTTTTGGATTTGTTTTCCAGGGGTTTGTTGAGATTTTCCTGCTGATTTTATGGAGAACATTCCAAGGATTTTTGGATTTGTTTTCCTGGGATTTTCCTGCTGATTTTATGGAGAACATTCCAAGGATTTTTGGATTTGTTTCCCAGGGATCCATTGGGATTTTCCTGCTGATTTTATGGAGAACATTCCAAGGATTTTTGAATTTGTTTTCCAGGGGTTTGTTGGGATTTTCCTGCTGATTTTGGGGAGAATATTCCAAGAATTTTTGGATTTGTTTTTCTGGGATTTTCCTGATGATTTTATGGAGAAAAATCCAAGGATTTTTGGATTTGTTTTCCAGGTTTTTGTTGGGAATTTCCTGCTGATTCCAGGGAGAACATTCCACGGATTTTTGGATTTGTTTTCCAGGGATCCTCTGGGATTTTCCTGCTGATTTTGGGGAGAAAATTCCAAGGATTTTGGGATTGGTTTTCCAGGGATTTTCCTGCTGATTTTCAGGAGAAAATTCCAAGGATTTTTGGATTTGTTTTCCAGGGATTTTCCTGCTGATTTTGGGGAGAACATTCCAAGGATTTTTGGATTTGTTTCCCCTGGATTTGTTGGGATTTTCCTGATGCTTCCAGGAAGAAAATTCCAAGAATTTTTGGATTATTTTCCATGGATCATCTGGGATTTTCCTGCTGATTTTTCGGCACCACCAAGGACTTTTCCTCCCCCTTTTTCTCTCCCCATTCCAGAGGAAAACTCCGGAAAACCACCCGAGGACGGAAAAGCGAAGAAAAAGAAAGGCTTG